AAACATGTGAGCGAACCAGTGCCACGGTTACAGAACGAATTATTTTTAGCGCTGTGGATGCTGCGCCGTCGAGAGTGTCGCAAGGACTCCTCTTTTTCCGTGAATATACGTATATGAAAGGCTTGGAAATGAACTCAAGCAAGAATCTTCGCTATTACGTGGATAAATGCCTTTTCCACGACACATGAGACGACCGTACATGTAATCCGATTGACATTTTCAAAATCATGCATCATTTAGAATTATGTAACATTTATTTTCTTATTTGATATAAACTTTATCTTTAGATCTCGCAACATTCAAGAGCTGTTTCAGCTGTTAAAACTATAAGATGTTTCCGAGAATTATCTCTATATCAGTGTTATTAAATTATCGCAATTAAAATGCTCGATCTTTTATTAATAATTTTTTTTTTTTTCTAAATTCGCAAGTATCATCAGTCAAAAATGTTTAATTAGACAAAAGATATTTCGGTAGATAAATAAAATGAACGAGAGAGATATATATCAGTAGTGGGGAATTAGTTTGAAGATCATTTTCTGACTGGTTCAAGCGTAATGTATGATATAAAGAATCATATATATCATTATATATTTATATATATCATTATATATTTATTTTTTATCTACTCGTTCACAAACTTTGAGAGTAATTTGAGAACGGAAGAGTACTACTTGGTCCGTAAATAGAGCAACGCTCTTCGAACCCGTCTGATATTCCTTGATAAAAATGAGGTCGGGAGCGAAAGAATTCTCATTTCACGCAACTTTGTCAATTTCCGAAGATTGCTCTTCCGATCTCTTTATTGTCGTAATACAGCAAGCGTCGGCTGTAATGGAATTCAACACACGAAAATATGCTTGCTTCGTGATGCTACCATTTGTGCTTTCTCACAGAAAATGCGTGAACTTTTCACTTAGGAAAAGTTTCCCACGGAACATGACATATCCGATAAGAAACGTAAGGAATAACATTTCGAAAAAGAATTTTGAAGAAATCGATTTATATATATATATATATATATATATTTTTTATTATTAGAAGAAAAACTTATAATGCCATTCAAGTCAAGTTCACACACGGAATAACATTTCAATCATTATGATATAGTTAAAGTAGCTATTATTAAATGTAATATTTAAACAATATTACTCTATAAATGTATCATCTATTATTTTATAAATGCTTAAGTTAGATATAAATTGTGAACAAATATTTAGAAAACAGGAAACATTAAAATCTATATTTTTATGCATTTTGCTCTTGTTACATTTACAGGATCGCGATTGTTTATATTTGATGAAATTGATAGAAAATAAGATACTTTAGGAAAAAGGAAATTTTATAATTAAAAGTAAATTTTGTAATATTCAAACAATGTTGTTTTTACTGCAAGTTAATATTTTCTAAAAATTTTACAGTCCGTCGTTGTCATAATGAAGTGTCTTATTACTTTGACTTGGGTAAACTTCTTTTCCGAGTAGATCGCTCTTCCAATATGACTTTCATAGCCAACCCTCCACTACTTTTCAAAGTTAGTCCTTCCTTCATTTTGCATTTGATATTTTAATAACAAGAAAGACATCGTTAGAATGCATTTAGAAGTAGCACTAAGTCTTTTAAAATCATCCAACTTTTTACGAAGGAAACAACCATACGTACAACAAATTAAATCGGACGTATGGTAAAGGCATAAACGATTCTTAAACAGACAATTTTTTTCGTAATGTTTAAGTATGTCATTTCTGTCGGGCTTTGCTACCAAAAAGTATATTATCTCGCTATTAAAGTGCTATACGATTCTTTCCGATTTCATGATTCCGTTTCAGCGAAATACACGCGATATACACCGTATATATATATATATATATACAGGTATTCTTAATGGATGTAAAAATTGCGTGAGCGGAACAAGGTAAGCGATCGATATTGCCAGAGCGTGCTATTGTACGACAATTAATAATAGTTATTAAGCGCGAAAGCTCTCGGCGTATCGCCAAGAAGGTAAATTCCTCGGAGGATATGCGGACCTTGGAGCAGACGGAATTTCCGCAGCGAGCGGCATATGGACCCATCCCTAATAGCTACGCCCGATGAAATATGCGCGGCAAGCCGTGGAGCATAACCATTTCCAAAATCCCCATTCGTGTGTGGCGACCTAGATATAGACACGTGTGTGTGTGTGTGTGTGCATTACGTATACGGGAAACTTCGGGATACGACTCGTGTGAATCACTACGTGCTATACGCAAAACGGCGCATTACGTCTACTGTCGCATTAGCCTGGCTCTCAGCCATGCCGCATCATAAATACGCGCTAACAATGCTCACCGCGGGTCTTCGTTTTGTGATAATGACGTCGAAGGTAAGAGCATTCATGCACGGTCGATAATTTTCTCGTTTCTCGTTAGCGCCACAGTGCGGGCACGTTTGTTTGTTCCCGTTGCTCGATCCGTTTACCTTGAATCTAGTTCTCCGCGCCGCGCTAAAAGCGCACGCCGAATGCTCGATGCTTCTTTAATAAGTTCCAGCTGAGAAGACAAATGGGGCAATCGCCCGGGTTAAAGTCTTATTTGATAGACGTGTGTTTTCTCCTTTCAAGTAGCACCGTACTGCTTCGTGATCTGTGCCAGGGTCTCGCGGATCTGACAGCCACAGCGACGTCAAATTTAATTTCTTCCATAAGATTTAATTTCCTCTATATTCTTAATAAGAAGTGCAGTAATGTTTATTGAGAAAAGTAACGGCATCGAAGTTTTCAACTAACTAATTAAAATTTATTACATCGGTATTACAGCTGGTGACCAGGTAATTTTAATAACAATTTCTCAAATGTACGTTGTTATATTATGATACCACCGGCAGACGGAGCAACGTGCAGCCGTCGAGAAACGAACGGCGAAGTTAAAGTTTGATTCTAAAACTTATATCAATGAAATCGTGCCCGCATTTCCTCGGGCCGCTTGCCAAGAATTAATCCCCGTGCGAGCAAGTTATACATGAAACGTAATGCATCGAGGAGGTTGGCCACGCGATCTGCTTTACTCAACATTAAATGAGTAAAGTTATGCTATAAGAAAATTGTTGGAGAAATTTTGCCAATAGTATAATACTACTTTCCCATGTCTCGTTAAATGCACGACGTTTACGTTAATAATTAGAAATACATATTGAGAGATGTATCTTTTTCATTAATACATATTTTTAGATAAACTTACAATCTTTGAACATAATTTATTGCTGATGAAAATCGAGCGATACAGTAATACAATCTTAAAACAATTAACGTAATACAAATTTCCGTAGATAATAACAAAGAAAGGAAGAACGCAGGAAGTTAAGTATTCATAGTTGCATGTCGCACGTTGACGAAGAGAAAAATATAATACTGTTCAATGAAAACAACGGCGAGAAAGCGGAGTAGCTCTCAAAGAAGTCGAAAGAGGAAGGCCATCTGGTAGATTTACTTGTTCTCTTGACAACATTGTTCTTCCGGTTCCGGTACGTGTGATGGAGGCAACATTGTACATTCTCACCAAATGTCACCGGAAGTAATTCATATTTCATCGACACCAACATTGATAGTAATTTTTATGCGCATCGTTATAATAAATTTCCAAGGATTTGAGATTAATTGATCTTCTACTGCTTACACACACACACACACACACACACACACACACACACACACACACACACACACACACACACACACACACACACACTAATAAAAATGTTCCTTCTCTCGTTCCTTCAATCGTTCCTTTCTTTCTTTTTATATTAATAATTTTTTAGTATTTTATAAAATATTAGATCTTGAAGTATTTGTTAAAATCTTTAAATATATCGAGTTGAAGTTTTTGAAATTAATTGTAGATCAACAGAAAATTACGAAATGATTACGGAAAAGGAATAACCTCGCATACAGGAAGAAAATTAACAGAAGGACACACAACGTACGCCGAAGGACAAAATGCACTTCTGAAAGGCAGACAACGAGATAGAGAGACGGAGGAACGTAGACGGATATTGCATGTTTGAGATTCATACGTGTCAGCGCGTACGTAACGCACGGAACGACCGGAAACGCATGCGGACGATACTCGTCGGTCTGCAAGCTACAAGCAAACTGTGTAAGCGGCAGCTGCATATGCGACAATTTGAATAATTAACGTGCACGTAGTGTCCCAACGTACTGGAGATATATCTTCCTGCGAGACAAATGCATTTGCCGATGCTGCACCATCGATGAACCAAGAAATAAGGATCAGTCGATCATAAACCAAAAACAAAGGTGAAAATGGTAAATTACGTCGGGAGAATAAAATTGCTCTGGCCTTTTTAACGAATCGCACCATGGACCGAGTCGACCTCGCTCCACGCAGCAAGTAGAAAAATTAGCGCTTTTTCACAAACTGCAATTGACAGTGCAGCTTTCACAATGCGCGAATTTAACTGGTTTTGTTACGTAAAGCGATGTTACATTCACGAACAATATGCAGGGTAGGCTCGAATTCTCAAAGGCTTCGTTTACTGTTAGGATACAAATTTGATTTTATTTCATGTTGCTCTAAATCGCGATAAATTCAGTTCAGTATGACAATCAACAATCAAGTCAATTAATCACGCATGAAAAATTAAGTGTTTCTTGTTGCTGCATTTTCATTGACAAACGAGAAGGCTAACGAGTCGATTCCTATATTTTCTCATATATTAATTGCATTGAAATCGTTAGATATTTGCGCTCGATTCTTACGCGAGCACCGCAAGGTTCTCTACCCCCTTGAAGTAGAAAACAATCGTAAATACGCATTGAATCGCGTCGGAATATTGAATCCTTCGGATCTTTCCACGATCGTCGACAAAGGTGGCATTATTCCTCGCGAAACAATCGCGTTTGTAATTAACATTCCCAGGAAGCGGCCTGGCAGCACGCTTGATTGTAAAATTGAACATTAACGACTAATTAGCTTCACAGACTGATTAACTTAAGTTTTTACCTTCATCATCAATCTGCTGTACTATTATTTGTGGTGGAAAGCCTCTTGGCAAAGACTGGGACTTTGACTCACCTGTAACAAAAAAAGAAGATGTTATCAGAAACGCTAGTTTTACAATATATATTAATGATCGATTTAGAATACAGTTTGAACCAAAGATAGAACATGATTGAAAAAAATTATGCAATTATTCTTTATAATTACATTTCCTGTTATATTTCCTATTAAATAAAAGATTTTTTTCTGTCAAAGTTACACACGTAGATACAAATAAAATAATGACGATGAATTAAGCTGATAGGTTTTATACGCGCGATAAAACTTTATCGATCAGTACGGAACGATATTTATTAGACGAATATTTCCTTTCTCGAGAACGATTTTTCCATTTGTTAAATAAAAGAAGTCGAATCAAGGAAAGCAAACCTAACTCGGGATATCTGCAAGCCGTGTCTAGTAGAACGCATTCATATTTACGTAGCCCTTGGGAGTGACACAACGTGGATTAACGGCGATCGCGTGGATGGAAACTGGCAGGGATAGAACTTCCCTCCGTGTACACGCCGTGTATAGGCCACCCTCCCCCACGTAAAAATTAATGAAAGCGTTTTCATTGAACTCGAGACCCGGGTCAAGCACCGCGACGCACGATCGGACGTACCACTGGCTCAGCCCAATCCGGCCAATTAAACCAATTTCGGCGACCCTTCGGATCTGTCGGAAACTATCGGTGATTTTCTCGCGTGTCCTTTCACAAAGCAGACACACACACACACACACACACACACACACACACACACGACGTACGTACGTA